GGAAATCTACATCCAAAGCCTGACAAATGTCTTTTGAAGTAAAAAAAAAAATCTATTTCCAGGAGTTTATCTTCAATAAATAATCAGACACCTATGGGAAGACTTACTAGGAAAGAGTAGGACCCCCCCTTGATATCTGGTTAAATTAATAAACATGGGTCAACAAAAGGAGCACTACATGGGTGTGTAAAAGGTGTGGAAGGACATTAATGGTTTGGAATGTCACAACATGCTGTGAAGTAAAGAAAACAGGTTTCAGGGGAGCTGGGGTTGTGGCTCAGTGGTAGAGCATTCGCCTAGCATTTGCGAGGCACTGGGATCAAGCCTCAGCACCACATAAAGATAAATAAATAAAGGTATTAKCCATCTACAACTAAAAAAAAAATTAAAGATTTTTTTTTTTAGAGAGAGTGAGAGAGAGAGAGGGAGAGAGAGAGAATTTTTTAATATTTATTTTTTAGTTATCGGCGGACACAATATCTTTGTTTGTATGTGGTGCTGAGGATCGAACCCGGGCCGCACGCATGCCAGGCGAGCGCGCTACCACTTGAGCCATATCCCCAGCCCAAAAGATATTTTTAAAAAGAAAAAAACAGGTTTCAAATAATTTCATCTCTTGAGAAAAAAAAATATATACAACTCCACTACATTGAACCTAAAGTAACTAAGTGCACCACTTAATATTCTTTAGTTATTAGAAGTATTAAATGATTATTAAACACACCATTTGTATTTACCACTAAGAAACAAAAAAATTCTGCCAATTAAACTATAATGAACCATAGATTGTAGCATCCATCATGATGTTATTTGCTTATTTTTATTCATTTATTCACTCTTATAGTGATTGAACCCAGGGCCTCACATTTGCTAAGCACATGCTCTATCATTGAGCTATACCCCCCACCTCACATGATGAACTTGGAGATGTTAAAATGAAATATATGTCCTGGAATTGATAAAATACTATATGTGCCCCATATTCCTTCCATTCTAAAGCTAACTTCTTCCCCCGTATTTTACTACCTGGAATTTAACACCTTACAATCAGGTGCACTTACTACCTTACAGTCAAGGGAGTGCTTCTCCCAGCACCCTCAGCCCACATACACCCCATCGGGAGCAAGAGAACATTTTATATGTATTATATTTTCATGAGACAGACAGAAAGAAATACATCAGAATGTTAATCGTAGTTTTCTCCAAATGGTAGGATTTCAGGTCATTTTAATTTCCCTCCTTGTTTTTTCTATAATTTACAAATTTTCTAAAATGAAGTAGAAAAAAATCTAAACAGCAACAATCAATCCAGCATCACCAGTTCCCAGATCCACCCCACTGCAGAACAGCGAGGGCATGGGGCTAAGGTCCTGTGGGCTCCCTGTCCCTGTCTTCCCAGGATCTGGGAACCCTCAGAGGAGACAGCTAAAGGGCCTCTGCCAGCTCACCCCCAAACCAGTGTCTCACCACTTTAAAACTCTGTGTTCACAGAGGCTCCCTGCAAGTTTCCCTCCTCCACCACCTCACTCTCCCTCCTTTCTGGCACCCAGTCCCATGGAAGCACCCACGGGGGGCAAGTGGACTTCATCTCAAAGCCAGTTCCCATTCTAGGATGATGGGCAGTGGCCGCCAGAGCACCTGCTGGGAGGATTCTGAGGCCAGACTGAAGTTTAGGGGGGGGCAGGTGTGCCTGAGGGATTGGTCACACCTGCCAGGGACCATGGGACACATTGCACACTGCCAAGGCCTGAGAGAGTCCTCCCAGCTCTTGGTGTGCTCTCTGACATCTGCTCTCTGTGTCTCCCTGACCTCTAAGCAGATGCCTCATGTGTCCAGCCGGCAAAGGGGAAGACATCCTGAGCACACTGAGGACCGTGGCAGGCGGCTGTGGGGGCCAGACTCAGCAGCATGAGCTAGACCAGCTCACTCCTGCCCGCCAGCCCTGGGCGGGAAAGCAGAACGCACAGGCAGCGGAGACCCGCAAGCCAGCAAGGGCACGCACCTAGAGCGTCTGCCCTCCAAGAGACAGAGGAACAAGGCTCCCCCGACCGTCCATCAGGGGGTGGAAGATGCATGTGGCACACACAACACACAGCTTATTTATTTATTTATTAATTGGGCAAAGCCACATGGATGAGAACGAACTTGAGGGTGAAGGAAGCAATTGGCACAAAACCACAAGCATTGTTGTACCTTTGATTAAAAAACGAAATAGAAACCAAGTTGCATATGGCTTAGAAATATTCACCCTGTGAATAAACTGTATGAGAAAAGCAGTAGAGTGTATGAGAAAAAGCTTAGGGTACCCCTGGGCTCAGGGCAGGCAGGACACAGGACTCAGAAGGGAGGAGAAGGGGCAGCAGGCTGGAGCACCCCAGGGGGAGCTGGTGGCCTCCTGTGCCCATTTCACACTGTGCTTCATCACAACAGTTAGGGTGTTACAGGATACGGTAGGCACCACCCATTAATTGAAGGAACTGATTTTCATCTAATGCACTACTCAACTAAAAACAGTCCTCATGCAGAAGGCCTGTGCTGCTGATCTGTGGACTAGAGCCTATCACGTCTGCAGAGGGACTTCCTGGGTGACCCTGTCCTACCTGCCCAGCTGTGTTTCTCTTGAACAGTCTCTGAGCTTCAGCAGGAGCCCTTGATGGGCAAAGCCTTCCTCTCACCGTTTCCAGGCTGTCTCGGGCATGAGATGCCCATAGAAACAGCTCCCTCCTCTGTGCAGCGAGGAATTTGGGTGAATCACTTTCAAACACTATCTCTATTACTTTTTCCCCATCAGTGTGTGTGTGTGTGTGTGTGTGTGTGTGTGTGTGTGTGTGTGTGTTGCTGGGGATCCTTCCCAGGGCCTCCTGTAGGCTAAACATGTGCCTGCCACTGAGCTATGCCCCAAGCCCCCTTGTAATCATTTTGGAGATCTTTTACCCCCTTCACCCTACGACGACTGTAATGACAATATGAAATACTGTATAGCATTTTATCTGCAGCATGCTCTAAGGCTGTTTTTGTAGTTATTACTTCAACTTGGTAACACATTATTCATAGTAACAGAGATACAGAAGCCACCTACACTTTTGATCCTCARCAAGTGGCAGAACACGTAATCCTTAACCTCTGTGTCCGTGAAGAGGGTATGTATGTTGCCCAGAGATAGGTAGTCATTAAATAAAAAATCCCAACAGCCATGTGGTCAGATCCCAGCTGTGTGGACAGATGCTGACACCTGGGCACAACCAGCCGAGGAGACAACAGTGTGTAGAGAGCAGACACTCCGCCATGACGCACTTCTCCTCAAGCTTCTCTACAGCTAAACGGTGCAACCTGCCCAACTCCAGACACTCCTGGGAGGAGACTGGGCCCCAGATGGGCTCCGGGGAACCCAAGGTGTTAAGTGGGGGTGCTCTTTTAAGGTCAGGGGGCAGCCTGGCCCCAGAACAGGACCAGCAGTCCCAGACCCTGTGTTTCTGAATTTTGTGTTTTAACCAGCTGACTCCTTGTTGTATGTACACACACACACACACACACACACATAAACCCACATACACACATATCCACACCCACACACATACACACCCACACACATACACACACACACACATAAACCCACATACACACATATACACACCCACACACATACACACACACACACATAAACCCACATACACACACCCACACACATACATAAACACACAACACACACACGGACTGGTGAGGGAGACCTCACTCCATCCCCAGGGCCTGCTCTCTGACTTCCCCAGAGGGCCTGCAGCAGGCAGAGGACACCCTGAGTGCCCAGCAAGGTGTCTCTGGAAAGCAGCACCCATGCCCAGGATGGGCGGAGCCACAGCCAATCACAGGGACCAACGGGCCACGTAAACATCAGGTAGGTCACACCAACTACAGGCTCAGAAAGCATCATGTTCATTTAATTACCAGGCAGGGCTTTTGAAAACCAATTTTAAGAGCTAATTTAAAAGTGGCTGTTCTGCAGGGACAGGGTCATGGCAGACACTACTAAAACTGAAGGCAGCACTCTGATGGCCTGGGGGTGGCTCTTCCAGCCACACACCCAGAGAACAGCCACCAGCAAGCAATGGCCACAGCAGGCCTCCCTGCCGAGGCTTGATGGCGTGAAGAATCAGCAGGGCCTTCACAGGCTGAGCACATGCCCTACACTGAGCCACACCCCAACTCCAGGAGTCACGAGTATGGGGGGCAGAACTCATCGGGCAGCTCAAACCCGGGGTCCGCAGAGCAGCTGGACCAACGTGAACAGTGCTACGCATCCCTAAAGGAGGCAGGTCCCCAAGGATTGAAAGGAAGTGTCTAGAGCTTCCAGTCCCTCAGGAATGGCCGTCAGGAGTGTGTGGTGTGGGGAAAGGAGAGGTTCTAAAAGGGCATTTGAAGGAAGAGGCCATCTCTATAAAAAGAAACCAAAGGCCACTTTGGTAAGTGCCAGTGACTGTATGTAATAACACAAGAACATTCTGGAAAGAAATACATTTAAATCATCACACAGGTTACCTCAGGAAAGACAGAAGGAACCAGGACTGGACAAGATTTTTGAAGGGCACATGGGTCCCTGAGTCACCTGTGTATTTACAGTTGATTTCTTCAAGTCTCAGCAATTCCTTGATTCTTGAACATATGTCTACAAGTCTTTGGCTTATTTAACGTATCAAAGGAAGTTTACAGGAGGGATCTTCTGCCAGAAGGTGTCTGCTGCAGCACCACGCCCACCTCTGCCCCCCAGCACCCACCCACAGCTGGGCCACGGGCACATGTTTCAGGAGGACRTGCCGGGGCCTCTGGTCACCTCCACCACTCTGAGTCCACAGCACATCTCAGGCAATGCTGGGGCCTCCAGAAGGGAGTTACCTGGCAGCAGTGCCGCTTCGCCAAGAGGACCCCGTGGTCACCACCCCCTCCCTGGTGACCATGAGAGCCACCTATTTTAAAGTTTGGCACAAGCCAAAGCAAGGGCCCCATACCTGTCAAAGACCACAGCGGCATAAGCCCGCTCGGCGAAGATGACGTCTGCTGCCCAGAACTCCTTGGTGGCCTTCAGGCCCCGGCCTTTGCCCTCGGAGTTGAAGACCTCCACGTTCTCCATGCTCCCTATTGTCATCTCAGAGTCTGCGGGCGCACGGGGGATGTCAGCGCTGGGCCAAGCCCTTTGTCACTGCTGCTATTTCGGCACCTTCGGCATCCCAAAGAGCAGGACTATAAATGGACAGGCCACCTCCCCTTCCCTGCCCCCTTGGCCTTGGGCCCTCACCTCCCCCTCTACCTCGTTCCTGGAGGCAGGAGTAGGCAGGCGAGAAGACAGCAGTAGGGCAAGGGTCTCTCTTGTCACCCAGCACAGCGGAGAAAGCAGAAGATGCCGTGGGCGAGTGCAGCCCTGGGATGGGGCCTGACCAGTTCTGAAAGGTTCTTTGCAAAAAGAAGCTGTGTGCGTGTGCGTGTGTCGGCTCAGCTGGAGCTGGAACAGGGAGCCAGGCAGGAGGGTATTTTTAGCAGCCAGATGCCTCTATCAATCAAGAGCAGACCTCCAGAGTGGCCCAAGGGAAGAGGAAAGGTGGCCTGCTGCTCTGGGACCCTTCAGCTGTCAGGCTCGCGTTTCCCAAGGTGGACGCTCCTCCCACCCCAGTCTCTCTGCCTGGTGGGACGCTGCTTAACAGAACTGCCCAGGTTCCAAGGGGCATTGCTCCTCTCCAGCACCTGGGGCTCCCAGGTATGCCCCCCCAAGTGGCATGGAGGTCCCAGGCATGCCCCCCCCAGGTGGCATGGAGGTCCCGGGTGTGCCCCCCCAGGTGACATGGAGATTCCTGGGGTGCCCACCTAGGTGGCATGGAGGTGCCAGGCGTGCCCCCCAGGTGGCATGGAGGTCCTGGGCATGTCCCCCCAAGTGGCATGGAGGTCCCAGGCGTGCCCCCTGCCAGGTGTCATGAAGGTCCCAGGTGTGCCCCCCCAGGTGACATGGAGACTCCTGGGGTGCCCACTGAGGTGGCATGGAGGTCCTGGGTGTACCCCACCCACGTGGCATGGAGGTGCCAGGCGTGCCCCCCCAGGTGGCATGGAGGTCCTGGGCATGTCCCCCCAGGTGGCATGGAGGTCCCAGGCGTGCCCCCTGCCAGGTGTCATGAAGGTCCCGGGCGTGGCTCCCCCAGGTGGCATGGAGGTCCAAGGGTGTCTTGTCTTTAATATCACTGGCCATGCAGCTGTCTCAGAGGCAGGTTGGGCACAGGGAAGGCCGGCTTCACAAACCCATCCCTGTCTCCATCCACCCATCAAACTCCCCTTAAACACCATCTACTGCCAGGAGAACACCAGCGTGCTCTGTCCTCCTCAYCTGGTGCCAGGGCTGTGGAGGGACAGTTCTGAGATCCTCAGTGAACTAAGTGCCACTCTCCCTAGCCATCAGGCACATCTCACGGAAGCCGAAGAAAGGCCCAGGTCTGGAGATGTGGCTTATCCTCCCTGTAGTATTTCTAGTTTCTGGATACCTCCTGCCATGGTTTGAATGTGTCCCCAGAGTCCTTGTGTTGGACACCTAGTTCACAATGCAACAGTGTTGACAGGCAGGACCTTTAGGGGGTGGGTGGTTCCCAGGGTCTCCACCCTTGTGAACACATTAAGGTTAGGGTTAGGGTTAGGGTTAGGGAGTGAGTGGTTCACAGGGTCTCCACCCTTGTGAGCACATTAAGGCCATTGTCAAGGGAGTGGGTTAGTTATTTTGGGTTCCTGATGAAAGGATTGATAAAAGTTTGGCCTCTGTCTGTTGTCCACACCCCCGACCCCCCCACGCCTCTTGCTCTCTCTCCCTCCCTCCCGTCCTCCTTCTCTCTCTCCCTTCCTCTCTCTCTTCCTCTGATGCCTTCCACCATATGGCAATGCAGCAAGAAGGCCCTCACTAGACGTGGCCCCTGGAGCCTGGACTTCACAAGCTCCAGTATCRTGAGTCAGTAAGTTTTCTGTTACAAATTATCCAGTCTCAGCCCATCATAGGGGTGCACGCCTGTAATCCGAGGTACTCAGGAGGTTGAGGCTTGAGGACCACAAGTCCAAGGCCAGCCTAGGCAACCTAATGGGACTCTGTCTCAAAATTTTAAAAAAAATTTTAAAAAGGTAAAGGCTGGGAATGTAGCTTAGCAGTAAAGGGTCTGTTAATGTCACCCTGACACAAAACCTAAGAGCAAGGTGACCGTCTCTACCTCGCCAACTTATTTGGGAGTTAAGTGGGGTCACATGGAAGGACAGAGCCTGGCACTTGGCACTTCATGTCACATCATTCAGCGAAGGCTCTTCTACTCTGTTTATTCTGTTCCATTGTCCTCCCYAGACTACCAAGATGTGCAGGAATTCTAATGGACCTTCAGGCAAATTGCCTCTCCCCACTCTCCTGTGGCTCCGGATAGCACACCCCAAATCCTCTCAGACCACACATCCTGGTGTGGAGTTCTCCCGCAGCCCGATGGGCTGGACAATATCTTGGCGGCTTCAGATGGATCCAAAGAGCACAACAACTTAAGACGGTGAAAGCTGGTGCCTCAAAGAGTAAACATCACACACTCCCAAGAGAAAAAATAATATTATGGAGGAGACTAGTCGGCTTCCAGCGAAGTGCCCACACCCATGTTGCCTGGTGACAGCTGGTCCTCCCTCAGCCTGGCAGGGCCCTGTGCTCTCCTGTAGACACTGGACTGGAACAGGTTCAGCCCAAGCTGTCATCGAGGACAAAGTGGACCCACCCGAGACCAGAGCTTGAGTTATATCCCTGGGTGCAACCTTACCAGATCAAAGACAGGAATACTGTTGAAGGCAGAATCAGGCCCCCAAGGATGTCCAGGCTCAAATCCCCAGAGCTYTGAACATACCTGACATAGGATGTCCATGGAGTGACTGTCTCCACAAACACTCATGCCGAGACAGGMAGGTGGTGCACGCCTATAAACCCAGCACTAGAGGCTGAGTGAGGCATGAGGATGGCAAGTTCAAGGACAGCCTCAGCAACGTAGCAAGACTGTCTCAAAACTAAATTTTTWAAAAGGGCTGGGGATGTAGCTCAGTGGTAGAATGCCCCTGGGTTCAATCCCAGGTACCATAAAAAAACAAACCAACAAGAAAACAGTGGTGAACGTGATCCCCACATGAGGTATCAAAGCTTAATGGATCCAACAACGGCACCTGGAGATGGGAGTGCAGAGGGCAATCAAGGTCCAAGGAGCACTGAGGGTGGCCCTGGTCCAATGGCACTGGAGAGATGGACGTGGGGATGCTCTATTGACTTCCTACGGTGCTTGGGTCTTTGCAGCATCCCCACCAGAGGGCAGGCCCTCACCAGATACGGCCACCCAGTCTTGAATTTCCCAGCCTTCAGAATCACAAGTGGAACACACTTTCTTTATAAGTGACTCAGTCTGTGATATCCAGTTGTAGCATCGAGACACATGGCAAAGGGGACTTTGCAAATGTGATTGAATTAAGGATCTTGAGACACAAAGATTATCCTAGATTATCTGGGTGGGACCAATGTGATCACGGGGATCCCCATAAGAGCAAGGCAGGAGGGTCAGGGTCAGAGAAGGAGTCGTCACAATGGACGCCAGAGGGTCGGAGTCCGAGAGCTCTCTGGAGATTCAGTGCTGCTGACCATAAAGATGGAGGAAGGAGTCACGGGCAGAGAAGCGGCCGACTCTGGAAAAGGCAGCGGAGCAGGCCCTCCCTCCCGCTCCTCCAGGACAGCGCAGCACTGTGRCACCTTGATCTCAGCCGGCGAACCCCAGGTCTGGCTTCTGACCTCCAGAACTGTAAGATGATAACTTCATGTTTTTAAGTCACTAACTTTGTCCTGATTTGTTACCGTAGCGATGGGAAACTCACATATAAAGTATTGAAGTAGTTTCTCCACACAGTACATATCACCTAAGGCTCTTCTGCTACTCTGAAAGGAAATTCATACAGAGTGTAATTTACTAGCTCTTACAAAAAAAAAAAAAAACACAATCAACTATTATCCCACCCTAATAAGGGGGGGAAGAAAATGAAAGGTAACTTATAATAAATTAAAGTACCTTGATGGTGGGGCTGGGGCTGGGGCTCAGAGGTAGAGCACTGGCCTAGCATGCATGAAGCACTGCTTCAATCCTCAGCACCATATAAAAATAAAATAAAGGTATTGTGTCCACCTACAACTAAAAAATAAATGTTAATACCTTGATGGTAAATTAAGATGCCGGTTTGCTCACTGTTCACATGCTTGGGTCCAACCGCAGTAGAGATGTGATGGAGTGGTCAGAACTGTGCACGTCTGAGTGAAGCCCTGTGTGGGTTGATCTGGGGACACAAACCCCACGCGGGGCACAGTGCCCAGGGCATGGCTTCCTGAGATGGTGGTTGTCTCTTGGCACAATCTCCCCTATAATGTTCAGTGGATAATAGAACTTCTAAAAACTGCTCTATGATTCCATACAAAGCAGAGTTCTGGACCAGGTGATTATAAACGGGGTTTTCACCTGCTGGAGAGGCACATCTGGCTATCTAAGCCTCTTGGGACAGGTTTTTCATTATTCAAGGCTGCTCCTTGCTTCCAGGACAGCCAGCATTTCTGGCCAGCATCAGAGAGTCAGGAGAGTTGGCCCCAGACCAGGCTGGTCGGGGGCAGAAGGCACCGGACCCTGCCAGGTCGCATGTGAGCACAGACCTGATGAAACAGCTCTGAGCCCATCTGCCCTGGCTGGCACCCCAGCTCCTCCAGTGTCTTTTCACCAGGATGCCGATCTTTCCTGGTGGCCCTGGATGGACAGCATCGTGCCTCTAGCACCTGGGGTCACTGTGATAACCAAAGACTCTCATCACATCTCTAAACTCTTCCCTGTGGTGGACTTGCCTCCTCTGGGAACGGCTGCTCCTTGTCTTCAGGAAAAGCACATTCCAAATCCTCGGGATTTCTTGTCACCCTGGTGGAGGTCACCAGAGAAAGGCTACAGGAAGGACACCAGAGCTTTCTTGGACATCATACCTCATGAGGGATGGAAGAGGTAGGTTCATTCCACACCTCCTGAGAGATCCTCCAAGACCAGGGTGGCATATCTGCGTGTGACTGTCACTTCAGGTCACAGAACTGAGCCTCCCAGGCCTTCAAATCACACTGCGGTTGAGGACCCTTTTCCACTCCACCATGCTGGGAGTTTTCCCATCGGAGATCACTTTAAAGGCACAGGGTCTCTTTCATGTGTGTCTGAATAAAGAAGGAGGGTGAGGCTGGGGAAAGGGAGACCACTTGAGCCCAAGGGCACCCAGAGCAGAAGAGGGGTCTGCAGTGCAGCAACAAGAATGACCCCATGGGGCAGATGCCCAGGCTGTCGCTATACCTCTGTGTCAGCAGAAATGCCCGAGTGTGCACACGCGTGCACGCGCACACACACGCATACGCGCAAAGAACATTACCACGGCTACCCAATGCTCCCACACCCTAACAAGAGTTCAAGGCCATTGGTGCAAATCAAAGGTAGTGTCAGGTCCCTGCCACGCACCTCCGTGGTGGAAGGAGGTGGTGAGGAGGAGGCCAGGCCTGGGGCTGTTCTGGAGACAGCGGTCAGTACCATGCCATGAGATGAGCCAGGGGCTGCAAGTATCCTCGCAGCATAAGGAGGCGCTCTGCTGGCTTACACGCACCTAGGCAGACTGTATCTCCAGAGCCTGCTGCAGCTCCCGGATGTTTGACCATAAACCTGTATTTACATGATCATCCTGAGCCTTGATGACACAGAGGCTTCAGAGTGACTAACTCCCCTCAGCTGGGTGGGTGACGATTCAGGGAATATGCACAAAAAGTATGAACATGGAGAGGGAAAACAGACCTACACAGTCTGTGATAGGTTTTGGATCTTTGGGAAGTTGGTGTGCCTGTGTGAATAGGGTGGCCACTGACCTACCACACCTGGGGAAAACTACTCCAGCCTTTGGGTCCCTGTTGAGCCACGAGCCTGGGGAGAGCGCCATCTAGTGGCTAGYCTAGGAACTGCAGGATTTTAATCTTCCCTGAGGCTGCTGTAGTGACAGGAGTCCCACCCTTGGCTGGTCCCGGCCTCTGCACCCCAGTACCTGGTACTGAGGTTCGTTGAGCTTTTTTTCCCCTCCTTTTCTGTACTGGGAATCAAAGTCAGAGCCCGACGCTTCTTGGCAAGTAACTGTACACTGAGCTACATCCTCAGCCCTAACTTTCACTTAGGCCGGGGTCCTTTAGAATGGTTTGGGGAAAAAAAATTAAAGAATATTTTGTGACACACACACAMAAAAAATCACACAAAATTCAAATTTTAATGGCCATATATTTAATTTTATTAGAAAACAGCCACTGGATTTACATATTTTCTAAGGCTGCCTTCACACTTCAACAGCAGAGTTGAATATTACACAGAGTCCCCAGAACTGAAAAAAAACTTACTCTCTGGCATTGTTCAAAAAATGTTTGCCAAGCCTTATTCAAACTAAAATGGCTGCATGCCTGGACACCTAGAAGAGGCCACAGGAGCTTGCTGCTTCAACAGCCATCCCCTGGCTGCTGCATTCACTCATTTCAAAAGCAATGTCAGAGACACTATCAAAGAAAGGCTCTTGTGCATGTCTAGCCCACACCTAGGATGAGCAGTGCAGGTTCTCTCCCCAATACTCATTATGTTCTATGCAGTTTCATCACTGAAAAACACATTCCCTCTGGTCCCTGTGTTCTCACAAAAATAAGTATGAAGCCGGGAATATAGTTCAGTGGTAGAGCACTTGCCTAACATGCATGAGGCCCTTGGTTTGGTCCCAATGCCCTGCCTCTAAGAAATCCTTAGTTTCAAACTGCTTTCCATCAGAGAATTCTTAAATTCCCTCATTCCACATGCACTTACCAGCACATGTAGCAAGCACTATAATCAGGGTCTGAGGCACATAGACCCACAAAATGTAGGGCCTGGCTTCAAGACATTGACCATTTAAAGGAGATTATGGGCCAGGTGAGGTAGCACACACCTGTTATTACAGGGACATGAGAGACTGAGGCAGGAGGATTGCAAGTTCAAGGCCAGCCTCAGCAATTTAGACAGGCCCTAAGCAACCTAGCAAGACTCTGTTTCAAAATTTAAAAGAAAATTAAAAAGGGATGGGTATATAGTTCAGTTGATAGAATGCTTGCCTTGCATGCACAGGTCCTGGGTGCGATCCCCAGCACCACAAAGAAAGGGGAGGCTAAGGATGTGGCTCAGTGTATAGCGCCCCAGATTCAAACCCCAGTACTGCAAATAAATAAATAATAAAGGGGATTATGGAAAAGCATGTGAAGATGGTTAAAGAGAGTAGGAGACAAAGAGAAAATCTTATCCAGGTGAGAATGAGGAACCAGGGCAATCTTCCAAAGAAGGGTAGAGGAAGAAGAAAGGGGAAATCAGAACTGGAGGAGAGCAGCATACGCCCAAGGACCCAGAGAGGTGGACATGGAGAGACAGCASGACACATAGAGCACACAACTGTTTCCTTCGCTAGTCTGGTCCCAGGCCTTTCATGTCCAGTGACTCGTGTGCATTGGAAAGAGATTCTACTAGCAAGACGTTTGAATGCTTGGAATTGCCACGTTCCCCTAGTGCCCTTTGAGGTGGGAACTAGTGCCTTTTGGAAGATAAGAAATGGAGGTCCTGAGAAGAAATGTGGCTAAGAGCTCCTACTGAAGACACAGCATCATCTCCTCCATAGGAACCACCACTCAAGTGCATGAGGCTTCACGAGAGCCCTGATGCAGCACCGTCTGTGAGAACAAACCTGGGAAACAGCTCCCGTCCAAGGAGAATGGCTGGGGAATGAAGACCGTGTGTTCACAGGATGGAATGCCGCTAAACTGGAAAGTGGAGACAAATTCCAGAGGAATAAGCAGGATGTATAATAATATTTATGTAAAATTCTAAGTCATGCAAATCAATATTCCATATATATGCCGTAAAATTATGAAACAATGCGTGTGAATGAGAAATGCTGGATTTAGGAAAAGGAGTTCATTAGGAAGTAGGGTCCCAAGGGTTTGGTCCCAAGCGGTGCAAAAAAATACAACAAAATAAGATAGCATGCTTGCTTCTATTCTTACCTCTTTCTGGAGAGAGCATTACAGGAGGAGGGAGCAAATAAAAAAGTTTAGTAACACAGTAGTGGAGTATTTGTAGTAATCATAAAAGTTTAATGTTGTAGAATCATAAGGTGAGTGCTGGGTGGGGCTTGAGGGCAGTGGGAGAGAATGAGATCAGGGCTTGCACAGCTGACAGGACTCAGTCTAACTTTTCCCCACTAACAATGGAGAGCCAATTATGACTTCTTTATTGAATCCTCAGCAGCAACATGAGCATCGACTGTAGCTGCTGAAATCAAAAGAAGGCAGATCTTAGCGTGTTTCAATCAAAACAGGCGAGACGTGAAACAGGCAGTATCAGTGTGACAGGAATGCAGAGGTCACCAGGGGAACGTTTTTTTGCGCAGCCTATCAGGAAAAACACCAATCAAGGAGAAAATGGGTGGAGCATTGTCCATCAGGGAACTAAATAAATCACAGCTACTTGCGACTGCGCAGAGGTTAACCCCGCGTTAAGTGAAACAAGTCCCAGGATGCTTCACACAGGGACAAGTAGCCTTACGAGTTGACAAAAGCAACCTAACATAGATGTGACCACATACGTGTGCTATGTGTGTACGACAGAGAGGAGAGAGGCGGTGATGACTGCGAACAGGGGTGCTGCTTTGGATAGAGCCTCGTGCGTGTGCTGCACGTCTATGCTCAAAGCCTGAAAAAGAGCGGGGAGAGAGGTCACTTAGGGTGCCCTGAAGACAACAGTCCCGACCGAGGATTGCGCCTCCTCTACGTTGGGTATTAAATTGCGTAATAAGGAAGAAGGGGAGCGCGCACGCGATGCGTCGTGCAGGTGGAAGGCACGCGCGTCCCCGGGTCTCCAGTCTCAGCAGCTGTCCCTTCCTCCAATGGGAAGGCGGAACCACAGCCCAGAGGCCAAGTGCCAGCCGATCCCGCGCGGCGCTCGCAGGGGGCGGGGCACGCGGGAGGGCGTGGCGCGGGGGCCGCCGAGAGCCGGACAGCTCAGGGGGATCAGGCAAGCTGAAAGGCGTGGCGCAGAGACCACAGAAAGCGAGGCGGTGTAGGGGGCGGGGCACGCATGAGGGCGTGGCGCGGGGGACTGCCGAAAACGGGGCCGCGCAGGGGGGCGGGGCATGCGAGAGGGTGGGGCTGCGCAGGGGGCGGGGAAAGAGGGAGGGCGTGGCGCGGGGGACTTCCTAGTGCCGAGCCGCGCAGAGGGCGGGGCAGGAAGGGTAGGGCCGCGCAGGCGGCGAGGCACGCCGAAAGCGGGGCCGTGCAGGGGGCGGGACACACGGTAGGGCGTGGCGCGGGAGACTGTCCAGAGCAGGGCCGCTCAGGGGGCGGGGCAGCAAGAGGGTGGGGCCGCTCAGGGGGCGGGGCACGCGGGAGGGCGTGGCGCAGGAGGGCTGCCAAGAGCGGGGCCGCGCAGGCGCCGGAGCGCGCTCGGCCGCCATGGCGCCGGCGCCGCCCAGTCAGCCACCGGTGGTGGCAGCGACTTCCACTCGGGAAACCGGGTCTCCGCCTCTTGCTCCCGGCCCGCCTGCTCCGGGCTGCGGCGGCGTCCCCGCCTCTCCGCCACCCGCTGCGCGGCCCGGCCGCGGCGCTGGCGGGGAGGGGGCCGCAGTTGTCGACGCCGCCCCGCCTCCGAGAAGGTGAGTTCCTGCCGGGCGGCGGCTGCCGCCTCGTCCCTCGCCCTGCCTCGCCGCCCGTGGCCCGGAAGGCGCCATGCCGCGGCGCAGGGGTCGGAGGGCGGGCCCAGTCCTGTCCCGACGCCGCCTGCGCCTCGGCGCGCTCCTGCGGGGCCGCGGTGGAGCTGGACGCCGGGCGGGCCGGGCCGAGCGGGACGGGTCTGCCCCGGGCGTCCCGGGCGCTGGGCGGGAGAGGTGGGCACGCCTGTCCGCAGGGCGCTGGTGCTCGTGCAGGCAGGGCCCCGTGTCCCCGGCTCGGTCCCCCCTCGGAGACCGGCCCCGCTGACCAGTCCAGAGCAGTGGCTCGCAGGCCCCGGACACACCTCCCAGAAGGACCGAGGAGCAGTTCGCAGGGGCGGTCGGGGTGCGCCCCGGGACAGCAGGCCTGTCCTGGGGCGGCGGCTAGAGCAGAGAATCCAGCGCTTCTGCAGGGACCCAGCCTCAGCTGTTAGAGGCCTGGGCTCAGTGGAGGGGCGCTCGCCTGGCACCTGTGCGGCCCTGGATCTGATCCTCAGCAATGCATACAACTACATAAAATAAAGGTCATCAACTAAAAAATATATTCAAAAAAATGTCTTTTACAGGGATCTGGAGAGTTTTTACAGTTATCACCAACACGTTTCCTGTAACACACAGTTTCTTGCCCGTCCCGGTGTAAGAGACTTGGGTTCCTCCAAGTACCCTCCACTGCGGACAGCCCGCCTGTAGGCGGCCGGGATAGGCTGCAAAACGTCCACAGGTGATTTCAGGGAGGGGCGCTTGCTGGGTTACCCTAAGTCACTTTCTTTATGCAGAGTGAAAGATAATGGAGTTCATATTAAAGAGTGATTTAGGACCCTTTTACTAGGACTGACACCATAAATGTAATAACTATAAAAATACTTTATTGTGATGGGTATGTTTTGTGTGCTGTTCCATAATCTTACTTATTTCACTTTGGAGAAATGACCAAGGAATAAAATAACTCTTAAAACATTTTTATAAGCAGTGAATTATAAATTCCATTCCCTATATATATGCTAATTAGAATTCCATTACAATCAAATGAGTGTCTTCAGTCAGCCTGAATTAGTATCATTGTTCTGATTTGAAACAAAAGAACAACAACAAAAAAAATAAGAAACATCAGATTTTTATCACTTCGTCCCCTCAGAAAAGTGATTGAGTCACTGAGGTGCATCCCAGTCTTTTTTATTTTATTGGAGGCAGTCTGAGTTGCCCAGGCTGGCCATACCCTTCTCAAGCTGGAGGTCACAGGCATCTGCTGCCATGCCTGGCTGAAATATATATTTTTTTCTTTTACACCAAAACTTCCTGTCAGTGTGTCTGAACAGCTTATGGGTGTCAGGAGAGATGCAAGTCAGTGTGGCTTCATGGCCAACCCATCAGACGTGCAAACAGCACTTCATGGAAAATTAACTTTTTGCCAAACGTGGCATTTGGGTGTTTGTTTTGGTTTTTGCAGTGACTTTAAATGTGTGCAGAAAACATTAATAGGTGTCCATGTGGTGCCAACAGTCACCTTTCTGAATCACTTCGGGTGGTAAATGAGAGCACTGGAGTAGGAGTCTTGATTTGTCCCAGGCCCTGGTGCTAGTCTCTCCACTCACTCTATGGCCCTGAGTAAGTCCCCAGTTCTTTGAACTTGACTTTGTCATCTGTTGAGTGGGGCTGCTGGACTAGCCCAGTGGTTCTCAACCAAGGGTCATTTTACCACCTACCCACCCTTGTCCCCAAGAGGATATTGGGTAATGTCTGGAGACATTTGCTTGTCGCACTACTGGACAGGGAGGGGCATAGTGAGTGAGGGCAGGTTCTAAGGGCATCTTTTTACTGTGGACCAGAAATGCCACAAACATCCTAAAAATACACTGGACAACCTACACATAGCACAAGATCATCTTACTGAGAATGTCAGTGGTGTGCACTACAGGAGCCTGCACTGTCCAGACTTTGACACCAACAGCTGAGCAGCTCCACCCGACACGCTCTCCTCAGTGGTTGTGTGCTAAACAGTGACTCATTAAACACGAAACTCGCCTGTGACCCGGTCAGACCTGCAGAGTGATGAACTCGCCTGAGTCAAGGTGGAGGTCCTTCCTGTGGACTTGAAAAGCAAAATATAATTGTTACCTAAAAATACATCTTGTCACCTTTATTTCAAGTTAATATCCTTCATTAGCCACTTGAGATAGTCCCAATAGTGTTTTAAAAATATAACATATCTAAAATATAACATATCTAATATGGTAAATATTAGATATGTTATATTTTTAAAACACTATTGGGACTCAATATTTAAAGTTTAAAAAATACATTGCCAGCCCTTTTTATTTTTATACTATGAGATAGGGTCTCTATAAGTTGCTGAGGGTGACTCTGAACTTGTGATTGTCCTGCCTTCTGAGTCACCAGGATTACAGGCTTGTGCCACAAGCCCAGCTTATATTTTTATTTTACATAGTTATAAAAGCTTATTATTTCACATAGTTATAAATAGTTGCCAGCTATGATCATAGATAAACAAGAAGAGAAAAACAAGATATTTTACTTAATCTTTTTTTTAAAGAACTTGTTAGAAGAGTTCTCCAAATGTTATCAAAGAATTATCCTGTTCCCAGTTATTAAAATTTCTTTCTCACTTTCAAAATCCTAATAGTACCATTAAAACTGACTTGATGCCTATTGTCACAGCTACCCAGAAAGTTGAGGCAGGCAGATCACTTGGTCCCAAGAGTTCAAAGCCAGCCTGGGCAACATAGATCCTATCTCAAGGGGGTGGGGGATCACATCACCATGGACAGTTCTTTATGAATTCTGAATCCTGACATTCTAATCAAGCACAGTGGCACATAACTGTAATCCCAACAGTGGGAGGCTAAGGCAGGAGGATCTTGAGTTTGAGGCTAGCCTCAGCAATTTAGCAAGATCCTGTGACAAAATAAATGGGGGAAAAAAAAAGGTCTAAAGCTGCAGCTCAGTTCTAAAGCACCCCAGGGCTCAAGCCCGGAACCAGAAGGAGGAAAGAGAAGTATATAAACCTATGTCGTTACGTTTTTTGTCTTGTTACTTTAAAACCAAGTACAACTATATATTTTAAAACAACTCAAAACTAATTAAGAGATATGATATGTGACATACATTTTACTCATCAAGTTCTTCCTAAATTGGTTCTCATTTACAATTATTATCTTGAGCACATATTTTTAAGCAAACCTTTTAAAATCTATACACTGGTACTGAAATTAAGCTTAGTTTGAATATATACAGTATAATGTAAATAAATACTTCAGGAGATTCAGTTTACAAGGTCATATTTTTTTGCAAAAATTAGCATAATACAGGCATATCTGAAGCAAAATTTAAATATTCTCCCCTATCTTATTCCCATTAAATTTACTATGTACCTTTTTAGATTTTTTTTTTTCTTTATCAGTACTGGGGACTGAACCTAGAGGTGTTCTAACAGTGAGCTGCGTCTCCAGTGCTTATTACTTTAAGACATGGTCTTGGAACTCGGCCTCGGCTTCCTGAGTGCTGGGATTATTGGAGCGCACCCTTACACAGCCTTCAGGTTTTCTCTGCACAATTTTAGCTAGCACATAGATTGGATTGTCAAATCAGGCTCACGTGAGTCAGTAATAAAAGCCAGGATTAAGGTTTAGTGATTATTTAAAGGATACAGGCAATTGGGAGATTCCARTGAATCAGAAGAGCATGTGGTACGTGAAAGCGCTCTCTTCAGGCTGTGTCCCCTAGTTGGTCCTGTGTTCCTGACCCAGGATAATAGATAAGGTTTTTAAGTGAGTTTCACTTCACGAGGTGGATTGTGAATCAGCTTCTTGTAGTATGGCTTACATGATGTTATTCACAAAACAGTGCCTCATCAATTTTGGATTTATTTACTGCCAGTGACTCTTTGCCAGGGACATCTTACTAATGGGACTCGGAGAGGGGGTTTTTTCCTCCTAGCAACTACCATTAAGCTCTTTTTCCCCCATTATTTTTTTTATTGGTGCTTTATAGTTGCACATAATGGAGGGATTTGTTGTTAAATATTCTTAGTTGCTGTGATCAGGCTCTTAATTCCGAGGCCCAGGAGACCTGGAGGCTAGGAATTCCCGTGTCTAGGTGCCAGCCTTTGTCGAAGACCTTCTTGCTACACCATTCCAGGGCAGAGGGCAGCCATGTGTGGAGGGATCACACTACGACCTGACCCCCTGTATAACTGGTATCAATCTCTTGTGAAGGAGAAGCCCTCCTGACCTCAAACCTCCCTTTAGGCCCCTGCCTCCCAACACGGTTGCTTTGGTAATTAAGTTTTCCACACATTTTAGGGGAACATGTTAAGACCATAGTAGATCCTAATTATAAACCGGCAAACTTCTATAAAATAAATTTAAACTGTTAGGAACTTTATATTGAAGTTCAGTTCTCAGTATTAATGTAGTCGTTTTGGGATAAATTACTTATTATGAGGAAAAAATGTTTTGCACATGTTCTAGAAGTTATATGTAAGTATAGCTTTAAGGGGCTTGAGGAGCCTACTCAATGAGATTTGTGTGGGTACATTTATAGCAACTGTGGGGAGGACATTAGTGCTGTGGGGTCATCTTGGAGTGTCTGCAGGGGATTGGACCTCCCCAAATAAAGCAAAATCCACAGTCCTTCAACTGTGTCCGATAAAATGCCATGGTGTCTACACACAGCCCGCACACATCCTTCAGTGCTGTAAGTCACCTCTAGATGCTCATATACCAGATACATGTAGATGCTTGTAATCAGTGGCGATACTATATTGTTTAGGAAATAACGACAAGAAAAAAAAGGTCTGTACGTGTTCGGATAGACATTCAAACACATCCAACCACGGTTGGTTGGGTCCAAGGATGTGGACCCACAGACATGGAGGGCCTGCTGCAGCTGAAGTCAGCAGCACCATAAAGTGGGCTACATTTCTTGTGATTGCTCTAAAACAAAACACCAGGATGATCTCTTACCCACTCTTCAATATCGGTATTCCAGATCACGTCCCAGAAGTCCAGGTCCCACGGTGCCCCTTAACCTTTCCTTCAGAGCAGTATTCTGAACCAAATCAAAATGTGTCCGTATTAGAGATTTACTAAATGTTTTCACATTAAAATTGCTGTTCTAATGAGCACAAGAAGCTATTGCTGTCACCTGTAAGCACTTGGGAAATGAAGATTTGGGATAGTTCATGAAATGATGCTACTAGCTGAAGGTCAGGAACATTGCCTTAGGTGTTTAATCTGATCCTCTGTCTTTGCCTCCCTTTACTTCCTCTATAGGGACCACGTTAAATGAACAAAGACTGAACTGTCACAGATACTTTTTTATAAAAGGCCTCCGTGGACTATTGCTTCAGTCTGACTGATAAACAAGTTCCTATGATGAGGTAGGTCGAACATAAAGAGAACAGGACCTCCAGAAGCTTAAATGGAGCAGGGAACTTCAGAGTGTCATCTGTTTAATCTTTACAAGAACCCTATGAAGGAGGTGCCCCTGTCCTTTTGACAGATGGTGGGACTGGCTCAAGAGTGACTTACCCCTTTGGAATTAGGGTTTAAACTCAAGTATTTGTAACTCCAAAATTCATTTGCTTTCCCCATGTCTTCCACTGGATCCAGAAAGCCCCTGAATCCTTAGTTCTTATAGTATCATAAAGCTTGAGCAGGAACCTATTAATCTGGATCAAGGCCCAAAGAGGCTTCCCTTGTAGTAGTTGAAGGTTATGAATATTATATGTAGCAGTCTCACCCTTGACCTAGGCTTTTGTGTGTGTTTGTTTGTTTATAATTTTTAGTCTTAGAATATAAGAGTGTTAAAAACAGAAGGTAAACATTTACTAGTCAGGCACGGTGGCACACATCTGTAATCCCAGCAACTTGGGAGGCTGAGGCAGGAGGATCACAAGTTCCAGGCCAGCCTCAGCAACTTAGCAAGACACTGTCTCAAAAACTAAAAATGGCTGAGGAAGTGGCTCAGTGGTAAAGCATCCCTGAGTTTAATCCCCAGTAACCAAAAAAAAAAAAAAACCACACACACACACACACACACAAAATCCATTGGCCCTACTTTCTTAGTTTATAGCCAAAGAAACTGAGATCCAGAAGAGAGGGATTCTCCTTAACTAGTCATGGGCATGACAGAGCCTGCAGGTGAGATGCGATCCTGCCTGTGCCCATTCCCTTTGTGGGTGGGGCTCCCTGTGTAGTCTTCCCTTCGTGGGGATCTCCTGGAGAAAGGGCGGTCTTGTACTCTCCTGCTTTGCCTAGCACAGGAAGCCATCTTTCCCACGCTGACCCTTTCATTCTCGTAAGACCGGACAAGCTGTTGGATCTCTTAGGTCTGGTACCTGCAGACCAGGAGTACTGGACACATTTACTGACCTGAAGCACAAAGCCAGCTCTGCAGCTCTGAGGAGTAGCTCTATTTTCACCCACCGGTGAGCTTGTAGGAACTGCGGTTTAGTTCATGTAAGGCTGAGATAGAGCACCATGATTGCAGGCACGTCTTGGCCTGGGATCGAGTGGACTCAGGTCTCCGCTCTCCTATGACTTGTTACCTCTCTGTTCTCTCAACCTGCAGAGTGGGGTTGATGATCTGTGTGTTGCCATAGTTGTGAGTATGTCTAGTCTGATCCTTTCCCCACAGTGAAAGCCAGGACTGTTGAAGACATGACCACAAGATTCTACAACTATAAAGTAACAGTCAATGTAGGAAGGCATGTAAATACAAGACAATAAAAACCACTTGCAGCTATACTCTGAAAATGTTTGCATCTCCTTCTCCCTATATCAACGCTTTAGTTACATGGTCAGTTTAAACTAATTTGGAGATTTGCCCTGGCTTGAACCTCTAGAGGTCTCTTCATCCTACTTATGGGAGGTTGGAAGTAGACAGTGCCAGGCAGCTGCAACAGCTCCATGACGTGTGTCGTGGAGAGGACCAGATGGGTCCTTGGGGCACTGGCTCCCCTCCCCATGCCCAGGATGCTGAGCTCCGCCCAGGTGTCTCATTCCAGCAGCAGGAGGAAGGAGCTCTGCTGCAGCCCTACATGACCTTAAGCTTTCTTTCAGAATTTATTCAGATGACCGAATCTTTAAGAGTGGCCAGGAAATGTCATCTTCTAACTAGACATATTGCCTAAGGTTTGTTACTAAGGAAGGGCAAAGTATTTTGAGAAGCAGCTAATTATTTCTCATAAGTAGGAACATAGCTAGGTACAGGGACACATGCCTGTGATCTCAGTGATTTAGAAGCCGAGGCAGGAGGATCACAAGTTTAGGGCCAGCCTGGGCAACTTAACAAGACCCTGTGTTGAAGTAAAAAATTATAAAGACTTGAGGATATAGCCAGTGGTAAAAAAAAAAACCCTGGTTCAAGAAACAAAAACCAATAAAAACATAAAAATTAATGGCTTCTAAATTTGGCCATGGGCACAAACTTATAGTCCCCACTACGTGGGAGGCTGAGGCAGGAGGATCTCTTTGAGATCAAGAATTCGGTCCAGCCTAGGTAACATAGCAAGTCTATGTCTCTTTTTTTTTTTTTTTTTGGAGTGGGGAACCAGGGATTGAACTCCAGGGCACTCAACCACTGAGCCACATCCCCAGCTCTATTTTGTATTTTGTTTAGAGATAGGGTCTCACTGAGTTGCTTAGCACTCGATTTTGTTAAGGCTGGTTTTGAACTCACAATCCTCCTGTCTCAGCCTCCTGAGCTCCTTGGATCACAAGCATGCACCACTACACCCGGCTAAGACTCTGTCTCAAGAAAAAGGAGGGGCTGGGGTTGTGGCTTGCCTAGCATGTGTGAAGCACTGGGTTAGACCCTCAGCATCACATATAAATAAATAAAAGGTATTGTGTTTAAAAAAAGAGATAAAGAAAGAAAGAAAACCGACTGACTTCCAAATTGGAGGACTCTTTCTCCCCCCCTCCCCTTCCCCCTCCCCCAGTACTGGAGTACTCTACTACTGAACTTCATCTTGGCTCTTTTTATTGTTTGAGACAGGATCTGCTAAATTGGGCAGGCTAGACTCAAATTTTCAATCTCTTGCCTCAGCCTCCTTAGTCACTGGGATTATAGGTATGTGCCACAATGCCTAGCTTGAATTATTTAATTTTTTAAAATTTTTTAATTATAGATGGACACAATGTCTTTATTTTACTTTATATCATGCTGAGGATCAAACCCAGTGCCTCACGAAGAACTGCCAGGCGGCCGCTCTACTTGTGAACCACAACCCCACCCTAATTTTTGTTTTTAATTGAACCCAGGGGCACTCCACCACTGAGCCACATCCCCAGCTCTATTTTGTATTTTATTTAGAGACAGGGACTCACTGAGTTGCTTAGGGCCTCACTAAGTTGCTGACTTTGAACTCACAATCCTGTCTCAGCCTCCCAAGCTGCTGGGATTACAGGCGTGTGACATCTCACCTGGCTCCAAATTATTTAATCTTTATAACAAGATTGTGCTTTGTTCCAGGTGAGCAAGAATAGAGTATTACACAATACAGAGTTGTAATCTTCTGCATCATGTTTTTTAGCTCACAGATTCTTGCACAGCCTCACTATTTGAAGAAAGTTCATTCTGAAAATCTGAAGCAGTTAATGGGTAAATATGATCAGGTATCTCCACCAAGTTCTCAGCCTGAGAAGGGTAAGCTTTTGTTCACCTCTTCATCCCCATCTGTGCCCTCTGCAGTGTTTGGGGACCAGCTTCTTTCACTTAGTATAGTGTCCTCATGTTCCTCTACGACATACTATGTATCAGTACTGCATTCCTTTTTATCGTTGAATAATATTCCATTGTATGAATGTACCACATTTTGTTTTAGTTGATGGAAGTTGGGATTGTTCCCACTTTGTATCACTAAGAGTATTTATTCCATTGTACAGTCGTAACACCATTTAGCTTATCCATTCACCTATTAATGACATTTTCTTTCTTTCTGGAGCTGTTACAAATGAAATTACTGTAAACATTGATATCCAAGCCTTTGTGTAGACATAGATCTCCTTTTCTTTGGAGTAAATATCTAGGAGTGATATAAAATGGATCATTTGGTAAATGTGTGTGTGACTTCTTAAGAAACTGCCTGTGATGGTTTGGATGTGAGGTGTCCCCCCAAAGCTCATGTGTGAGACAATGCAAAGAGGTTTAGAGTATCATGAGAGTCTTACCTAGTCAGTGAACTACTCCCTGATGGGATGAGCTGTGTGGTAGGGTGTGGCTGGCGAAGGTAGGAGATGGGAGGTGGGCGTGCCCTTGGGGTATATTTTTGCACCTGGTGAGTGGAGTCTCTGCTTCTTGACATAATTCCTGAGCCCCTTCCTCCGCCACACTCTTCCAGCCTCACCTTGTGCCCTGAGGAAGGAGCCAGCTGTCTGTGGACTGAGACCTCTGAAAACGTGAGCCCCCAATTACACTTTTTCTCCTTAAAATTGCTCTTGCCAGGTCTTTTGGTCACAGCAACAAAAAAGCTGACTGAAGCTCTGCCAGACTAGTGAGTTGCGGTAGCCACGCCCGTGGTCCCAATGGACCAGGCTGAAGCAGGAGGATCACAAGTTCAAGGCCGGCCTGGGCAACTTAATCCTGTCTCGAAATATAAAATAAAAAGGACTTGGGGGGCTGGGGCTGGGGCTCAGCGGTAGAGCACTCACCTAGCATGTTCGAGGCCCTGGGTCTGATCCTCGGCACCACATAAAAATAAATAAAGATATTGTTTATCTACCTACAACTGAAAAATAAATTTTTAAAAAAGGACTGAGGATTATGTAGCTCTGTGGTAGAACACCTCTGGGCTTAGCCCCAATGCCTGATTTCAAAGTGGTGGTGCCCTTTTCTACCCCTCAGACCCTCCCAGGAGCTCCAGCTGTCCACTCTCATGAGAGGGGGACTGCAGTCTTCACTTCAGGCCATCTTCATTTCAGGCGTCCTGGAAGGTGGGGATGGCTCCCTGTGGTTTCACTTCACGTTTCCCTTTTCTTTCCTTTTTTTTTTTTTTTTTTAATAATGACACTAGGGATTGAACTGAGGGATATATGCTTTACCACTGGACTACATCACTAGCCTTTTTTAGTGTTTGAGACAGAGTCTTGCTAAGTTGCTTAGTGCCTCACCAAGTTGCTGAGGCTGGCCTCAAACTTGTGATCCTCCTGCCTCAGCCTCCCAAGTCCCTGGGATTATAGTGTAAGGGACCGGCGAAACTTCGGAGGAAGAGACCACCAAGAGACTGTCTCATGCAACAGCAAAGGGTTTATTTGGGGACCAGCATGCTGGGGCTCAGAGCTCACTTGAATAGAGCAAAGAGAGAGAGCCCTGAGAACAGCTTAAGCAGAGCTTATATACTTTCCTTGGAGAGGGCAGGGAG